GTGGCCGACGGGCGATCCGCATATCCGGCTGGGACGGCCGGAGGGGCCTGACTGTCATACAACAGAGAAGCCGCAACCGAACTCAGGGCATCTTGCATGATGATGATGCGCACATCCTGCACGCCGAGGTCGATATCGGCATCATAATCGAACACGTTCGTGGAGGAGCTGGTGAGTGACGAAGAGCCGCTGGATAAGGGGTAGAGCTGGTTGGCGCGATGTTCAAACAAGTCTTGCGGATCGGGAAAGAGCAGGTTTCGCGTGTGGATGTCTTCCTGTACCGATTCGAGTGAGAATGGCTTATGGGAAGACGCCTGAGCCGAGGGTACGGCCCCTGTCCCGGCCGTCGCACCGAGGTTGAAGAGTTTCCCGAGCATCTTTACCGACAGCTGAGAAATCTAGAGAGAGAGCGAGAGAGAGAGAGAGAGAGATCGTATACCAGACAAGTCGCGAGACTGTCTCTATTGGCATATCAAACGGCGCCCGACCACCGAACTAGCATCCTCACTGGCGGCAGCTGAGGCATCGACATGGAAGGACTGCTGACGTGGTCGAATATGTTATGAGAATGAGCGTTCCTGGAGCCTCGATAGGAGTTGGATCTGGTATCGCCTAACCAGAGGTGAGATGGATTTCAAAGGAGGGACGAGAGGGCAAAGACCAAGACGTGGACGAGGACGAAGCCAGGGCGGCGCGTGAGTGCGTTGTGCTCTTGGTGTTTATCTGGCTCCTGACCAAGCAGGACGGACGTGTTATGAAAGAAGAAAGGAATGGCTGACCAGCCAGATGCAGGCGCTTGGACAAGCGCTATGCTGTGCTGAGAGTGAGAAGTTGGTGTGAGAGAGAGCACTTGTCGGCTGGTCAGGTCAGGTATCGGGTATCAGATCAGGTCCGGAAACGGCTTATTGCGCCCGGAGAGACAGGAAACACGAGAGCCCCGCGTTGTTGGAGCGACAGCGGATGGCGGGCTAGATACCAAAAATCGGCTACCCGTACTCCGTAGTGTTCTTCCGAATGGTTAGCACCAGATCAGCGCCAGGTATGGTTTTTGTCTGGCTGTGGAGTTGGGTAGACCCGAGCAGGCCGGACCTGGCGATGCCAGGGTTCGAGGTAGAGATAGGAGGGGAGGGCGGGTGGGGGGGCGGCCAGGGAATGAGAGGGAACGAGAGAGCACGAGAGCTCGAGCGAGGGGCCGAGGGTGGTCCAAGATGATGCACAAGGAAACCAATGCAGAGAGGGATAAAGAAGGGAGGATCTGGTAGGATATACAACTCATCAGGCCAATTGTACTCTCGGCAGCCAACACTCAATTGCTCTGCCTTCTCTCTCTTCCCATGGAATGGCGGTGACGGCGAGAGCGGCGGTTGGATGGACGTCGTTGCGTTGTTGCAGGGCAGCACTGCGCACCCACAGCGCACCTTACCTCGTACCGCGCGAACAGGAGCTGGTGGGGCACTCTCTCACTGAAGGTGGGGCCTGCCTTGATGGGCTAGACACCATGGTAAAAGTAACGTATCTTTTTCCATCTCTCCCGTCCACCACTTGAACCAAAAATAATTACCACTACCCATCACTTATGGCTCTCACTTGCATCTTGCAGTTGTGTGTGCACGACACTCGCATGTGTAGCTACTGGTAGATTACCGACATAAATACAATGCCTCAACCACCCAGCCAAGGCCCAAATCCGGGGTACCTGGGCCAGGCTGCTGCCACCCTTCCTCAGCAGTCCCCTCAGCAATCCCCTCAGCATCTCAGTTGAGGGTCCACCAGCCTGCCGGCAGTTTCACTTCAGAAAGCATCTCCAAAGACAATCAAGCCATCCACATGGCGTCCAACAAGCAACATGTCGACCACAGTTCTACAACTGCCCGCCGCCTGACCTGAGTGCCACTTCACCTCGCCGCCCTTCTCCCCCCCTCCACCGGATAGCGACTCGTGTCTCCCCGAGCTTGCGGCCCAATGATTCGAAATCACCAATACCTCTCGCTCTGAAGCAATCGGCGTGTTGCAGGGGTCCTGGTGCTCCTGGGGAAACATCCGACAGTCTGGCTCCCAATCGTTGAAGGCGTTGGGCTGACGGGCTCACCGCCAGAATGATGCTCATCATCTTTCCCGTCGTCCCTTTTCCGGCAGTCGATCAACCTCTGCGCGGAATGAAAGAAGCCGGCTCGTGCCCGTTGACGCGTAAGACATCACAGCCGATGATGTCGGTGCAACATCAGCCATCGTCAGCAAAAGGCACCGTCCTCGCCAGCAATGACATTATAATATTGCCCCATTAGGCTGTTCGTGGTCGGCCCGCACCAACCATCCACCCGACGACTCTTCCTCCTGGTGTGCGAGGCTCGGGCCTCTCCGGCCTGGGCTCAGTCTCACCCAACCCCTGTGATATCAGCCGGTGCCGCTTCTCTACATCGGTCACACAAGACTAGTTGGTGTTCGCAACGGCAACAAAAGCAGAAGACGTTTCCCGAACTCTGCCCAGTCCAACTTCCGACTGTATCCATCCATCCAGCAATATCTGACCCTCGACGACACCCTCTTTAAACAAGCCCGCTTCACACCTGCATCGCTAACGTACACAAGCTCGGTTTGCGTAAACTGCGCGGCCCTTGTACACTGCAAATCCAATTGGCACACGACAAATAACATGGCGAGCGCGCAGCTCAAAATGCCCCAAAGAGAAACCCAAGGATGCAACATGGTCAGGCTAGGCTGTCCTGTTTGATTCCCTCACAAGCAGCGTAAGCCTTCTACCTATGATCTGTCTCTTTTTCTCTTCCGGAGATAACAATGCCGTCTTTACCGGCACCTTAGCATCAGGCAGTGGCCGTGTAGTATTCCCCAATTTCCTGTTGTTACATTGCTGGAAGTGAAGCATTCTTGGTTTATGGGGTCCCAAGAGATCCCGCAGGCCCTCGTCACAATTTATCAGCTCCCGGTCATTTCTCTCAGCCACATGTGCTGTATCACCACTCGTCGTCCCTAAGAACTGGGAAAAGCGCCGTTTTCTTACGTACATACGAGGCCATATCTACCTGCTCTTGCACCACCTCCCAAGCTTCTTTTGCATTTCCAAGACCTGGGTTCTTGGAAACAAGAAAAGATCTGATAGGCTTTGTGCCTTAACAACCCCTCTCTAGCCATCCATGTTCGTTGTCCATCATTCCCCACCCCCACGTTTCCTCTTCACAACCCCCCATCCCGCCCGCCACTACCCACGTCAAGGCCCAGACCATAGCTTCGGGTATGGGTTTGCGCCAGCACAATGAAACCAAGCGAGAGCGAAGAAGGGTCCCATTGATCTGTCACGAAAATAACCAAGAAGGCAGACATGTGTTTCCTTTTCAGCAGCCATCCACCCATCCCACTTCTTTTTCTGTGTGACCCCCTCTCCCTTCCCGCTCCTCCCCTTCCTTTTTTTTTTGGGGGGGGGGGGGGGACCCCACACCGATCATCGGACTATGTAACCTCTTTGCTTGGGGTTTAAGATGGGGTTCTGCCCGAGGGTATTGTAGTAGCTGCAGGTGCTGAGGGGGAGGGGAGGGGAGGAGTGGCAACGGGTCATCTCTTTTCCCCTCATCTCGAGCTCAGAGAGAGAGAGAGAGAGAGAGACGCCGAGAATTACCACTCGCTCGCTCGAGGCATCAATCATCAGGCGAGATTGATCGTGATGAGGGGTTGCATGATGTTTTTGATGAGCCTCAAGGGTAAGTGATGGCCGTTTTGAATTGTTGGTTTGTAGCCGCGAGAGCCGCCGTTGGGGGAAAAAAGAAAATAGATAATGCGTAGCCGACTACCTTGCATACATGATACATATGTAGACACGTGCATACATGCCCCATCGGGTCCAAACTGCTTTTTGATAGGGGGCATAGGGGTTTACCCTGAGCTGCAGAGGCGCGCGGGGGGAGCAATTACCGCGGCTATGATATCAATCAAAACCGTTGAGAGACGAGCGTACATGTTGGACATTTCTTCACAACAGCCATGCACAAAACATACTGAGCATCATCAAGCCTGCCCTGTCCTGTGTCAATAAGGTTTGAACCTCAAACTGGCTTCAAACCCGAGGGAGGCAAAAAAAAGAAAAAAAAGAAAAAAAAGACGTCGACGACCGACCTGAGTCAGCCTACCTCGGATTTCCGAGTAAGGGAACTTTCATGTTGTAAAACGAGCACTGTCATTTTCTTGCCCCCTCAGAGATTGTGTCACCTACGATCCAAAACATAACGGCTGGGGAAATAATCCCTGGCTGTTGGTCTTTCGTAATCCGGGGACACAAAGAGGCCGATGGCGGGCCGAAAAGAGAGGGTCCCAAGGAAAAGTCCAAGACTTTATTGGACTTGAGCCCTTTCAACAAGTTATATACTGTCACCCCAGAAACCATCACCTTGAATTCACAACGAAGACGGGTAGATGGATGTACAGAGGGGCAAAATGATATTCCAGCTCTGAACGAAGAAAAATAAAAATGAAGCGAATACCCCTACCCCCCCCCCCCCCCCGAAAGTTCTAGCATGTAAGGCGCTTAACTCGCGGTCGAGTTTCACAAATCAACAATAAAGGGCTCATTTGTTCCGGTTTCTGACCGTTTGTCTGAGGCCGACGAATAGAATATATGCCGCCGTTATGGTCGATACTGAGTCAACAAGCAAGTTACTTTGGAGATTTGTTAACCCCAGGTAAAAAGGCAGGTACAAAAGCATAGCAATAAAAAAAAAACACAATACCTTCCTCTATCTCTATTGCTCTCCTTCTGCCATTCACAATCAATGAGTACAGGAAATAGATCAACGAATCTAACAATACAAACACAATGCAAAACTACCGCTTCTTCCCACCCTCTGTTGACTTTATTCCTCAAATCCAAAACCTGAGATAAAACACGCATGCCACCAGCATGTAGCCTCCTGAGAAAACATATGGGCCCGGCCAGGTTTACCTGTATCCCATCTATCCATCCTTCTCTCTAAATAACCCCTGTACTCCCCCCATCACTCATGCCCCCCATCACTCGAGACCGACACCGAGCAGCAAGCCAACTTCTCACACATGCCGCCCCCACAAGAAATCTGACATCCCGTTGGTAAAAGCGGTGCCCTAACCAGCTCTGGCTGGAGTGTGACCGAGTGTATACCATAGGCATGAAGACATTCACTAATCGTCTTTGCCCTGTCCATAAACTTGGCCATATCCGGGTCAGAAACGACAACGTGTGCCGAGGCGATGGATTTCTCTTCGTTAAGTCTCCAGACGTGGAGCTCGTGGACAGCGAGAACGCCGGGAATCTATGCAGCGTGTTAGTGCGCACCCGTCTTCTTTGCTGGGGGCAAGATGTCTTGCCTTCATAATATCGTGCTTGATATCCACGAGAATGACCCCAGCAGGTGCACTTTGTAAAAGAATGGTGCCGGACTCCCTCAAAATTGGAATTGCTGTGCAGAAGATGAGAGCTGCGATGCCCAAGCTGATGGCTGGATCGGCGTAGTATTTAGGGTCGAATTCATTCGTCGTGTCGGGGCGAACATATTGTATGATGGCTGCCGCAATCATGACGCCCAGATTCCCAGCAATATCCCCTAAGACGTGGAACTTGGCGGCGAGCATGTTGAGATCTCCTAATGGCGCCTTGCCGATGTGTACAATGTGCCGATGTTCGGAGTGGGAATCGGTAGCAGCTATTGGCGATGTCGTCCCGTCGGCCTCAATATCGACGCATGATGCTTTCGGTGATGGTAAGTTGAGAACTGTTGCACTGCTGGTAGTGGTGCCTCCATTCTTTAGGAGTTCGGCATCACCGCCCTTCTTACAGGGTGAAGTAAGGTCATGTCTGTGGTGATGATCGCCACGAGGGACTTCATCGGTTTGTTTGCTGTGTTCATGTTCATGCCCATGCCCATGCCCATGCCCGTGTCCGTGAGAATGGCTGTGGCCGTGGCCGTGACCGTGGTTGTGTTCTGCACCAAATTCTATCAGCCTCCCATCTAGGTCCTTCAAAAATTCTGTTGTTCTTACCATGTAGAAAGGCAAAGCTGACGAGGTTCAGGGCGAGACCTACGCCACCCACTATCAAGACCAGTTTGGGTTCTTCGACTTTCTCCATCTTTATAAAGCGCTCGATGGACTGGAATAAAATACTGAGCGCTAAAGCGAACAAAAAGGATCCATTGAAAAAGGCGCCAAGCAGCGTAGATCGCTGCCAGCCGAAAGATAGCTCTTGAGGCGAGCCACTGCGCTCAGATACCTGCGAAGAGAAAGGTCAGCCGTAGGGCTTCATGAGGATGTATACAAATGAGTGTGACGTACAACAATGGCGACCAGAGTCACCACATAGCCGAGTAGATCATTTAGCTGGAGATTTCGTGTCAGCAACCGGTCTATGCAACTCTCTTCTGCAAAGACCCGTAGATCTATACATACGTAGTGAATGGCATCAGCGTAGAGTGCCAAACTACTAGTTTTGAAGGCGACTGTGTGATACAGGGTTAGTCGGACAGCGTCATCTGATGTTGCTCAAGGTTCGAGTGCGTTGTCAATGCCTACCAACAAGCTCACACACGAAGAAAGCGGTCGAGATGGCGATAATAATCGACACTCTTGTCCTCTTGCTGAGTTTCCTGGTCGCCATGATAGATTATTCGGGGACTGGGCTGGCGAAGAGTAGTGTGAGCAAACTGACAGCAGAAGAAAAGTAGCAGAAGGAAGCTCTCGCTGACAGCAAACTGATGCGTGTGATATCAAGACACCGCAGTAGGCGGGGCAAACAATGCCAATGTCTCTGGTGTTTGCGACTTTGCGACCTGTGGACCTCTCGTTGCCATGAAGCATGGACCAGGAAGCTGGCTCAACAGATAAATGTTCAATCTTGCAGGATTGAAGAGCACCGTATGGCCAGGAAGCTGAGAGTAGATCTGTCGATTTTGCATCTGCAGTCACTTGAATGAGTGACTGTCTAGCTCGCACGGCCTTAGTGCTGCACAGGAGCATTCGACCTTAAGAGCATGCAGGGTGAGGTGTGTTGCGTGTTGCAGATGGCAGCCGGACCGGTAAGTTGGGACGCCCGGTGTCTGCGAGAGACTCCGAGCAAGATACTGAGGTGAGATAAAGTATGACGTGGTAATGTGTGAGCGTGTACACAGAAGAGGAGGATCCTCAACTCCGAGAGCGGGAGCAGGTGGCCGCCCAGAGAGCAGAGAAATGAAGACCAGTGGTTCAGAGAGGGAATGTCGGCCATATCAATGAATAATTTGGTGCAAGAAGAAGCTGGATTTAATTAGCGCCAAATGGCATCAAGCTTCAAATTGACCGGATGGTGGCTTGCTTTCAAGTGGGCAGCCGCTGTCAGTGCATGTGCCTCATCCACGTTTCCCTCTTGAGGAAGTAGCAACTGCGGCAACTGAATGCTGCCTAAGAAAATGAAGAGATGTCTCCCTAGTTCTAAAGAGTGCCATTGCTTCGAGAACAGATCCAAGACAAGATCACAAATGTCCGGAGCATGCCATCTCTTATTCTTGTCCTTGGTGTCTCTCAGGCCACAAGATAACTAACTGGACAGAAATGTTACACAGTCACCAAGCTGTACAACAACATCGGCACACCGAAAAAGCGACCGGATACCGGACAATTTGTAAGACTGATTCGATTCAGTGCCGAGGGATTGCTCTTGCCCGGGGTGATGTAATTCTGGAATTCTGGAGGTGAGGTTTGGAGATGAAAAGCAATCACCAATCAAATCCCAGCAACAGCCACACCCAGCTGTTCCCGGCAGGCACCACATTTGCAGGGATGTGGATCGCGGGGGACAGGGGAATGGGTCATTGCGCTAACTCTATTGAGAAGGCGGGGAAATAATCCTGGATTTTGCCAACGATAGCTCACGTCAACACCGTTTACAGGCGCTGAAGGTCGGACGGACAATGCGAAATGCAAATGCGACAGCTTTTTCGACGACGATACGAAGACATGATTTTTCGACGGCGAAAAGAGCAACCATAACCCTACAATCTCAATTTGATGAGAAAGCTCAATGTCGTGGAGAACCGCCTCGGCCGGCGCGCCGGGGCCTGCAAAAGGCGCTCAGGGTTGGCCGTCCCACCTTCGCCAGTTCAGTAAAGCCAGCGCAGAGGAGCAACCGCATCTATATCCCAATCTCAATCCCCATTCACCGGCAGACACGATCACTTCGAGCAGTTCGACGATTCGCGAGCGACCCCAGTCGGCGAAACGCCCAGGACGAAGATGGACCGTGACTGTCAACGAAGCGCTTTCCGGCGACGAAGTGTTGCTCAACTTTGAGCTGCTAGGGGACGATATCCAGCCAGGCAGCCTCGTGGCTATCGATGTGCTAAAGCCAGAAACCGAGAAACAGCATCACCCAGAACGCAGCAAAGATGACAGCTCTGCGGGTTGCAAGCCAAAGCGCTACATATGTATCGCCAAAGACTTGAATAAGGATTTCAGGGCTCGATACCCCATGGTCGAAGTCTATGTCGCCAAACATATCGCAGAAGCCTTTGGGGTGAGGAAGGGTACACAAGTTACTGTCGCTCCAGTATGATGCCCTTTTCAACTTTGTGGATGGGAATTGTCCCTAACGAAGATCATTCCAGATTGACAGCACGAACCCGGCCGTTGAAGCATCTCACCTCGAGCTCTGCTTTAAAGATCAGTATCTTTCGCGAGCTGATATGTGGCGTATGGCAGTGGGAATGCTTTCAGAGCGGACCGTATACAAAGGACAGATGATCCTGTTCATGGGTACCGTCAAGGCGCAGGTCACAGCTGTGTATGTTGACGGACGCCAAATTCATTCTGCCTTCTTCGGCCGCGACACAAAGCCCATATTCCGCAGCGAATCCGCTCGATATGTTCTTTTCATCCAGATGTCCCGCGAGATGTGGGACTTTGACTCAGATGGTTCCGGCGAGATCATGTTTAACAAAGTGGTCAACGGGTTCCTGCCAGCGCTCTTCAAGAAGTGGGCAGCTATGAAGCTGAAGCATCTTGTCACCATCGTGTTGTTTGCACGCGTCGAGTACGACACGGGTATTTCGACTGAACTCGCCAATGACGCTGTTCAAAACCTTTACTACACCGGCATTCAGTCCTCTGGAAACCGCCGCCCATACAAGGACTTCTATAGGGTAGTCGTCAGTGAGATGGGCAGTGGTGAGTGGACCAAAATCTTGCATCAGCTCAAGCGGGAGTTTAACTACTTCCGCAAGGACATCAGCACCCACCACATGGAGGCCATAACATGGTCACCCTTTCCTGGCTCGGATGATCCTGCGACTCGCGAGTCAACCCTCAACAGGATCAAAGCTGAAGCCTCTCGAGCGGTGCACGGAAACTTCCTTGAAGCCATCAACATGGCCTCTTCGTTGTACGCCCACGATTACATTGACAGAGACTTGACGAGGACCGGAGTGTCTGTTGTGGTCATTAGTCCCAGTCCTGGCGTTTTCGAGGTCGACTACGACGCGCTTCGCCGAACGACTGAATCTCTTGTGGGTAATGGCATCGGCATTGACTTGATCTGCATACCAAAGATACCACTGCACTCTGTCCCGCTGTTTCGTTATCGTGCTCCTCAAAACTGGGAGCTCGCTCGCCAAAGGTCGAACCTGAACATGAGCAGCGGAAGTACCCCAAAGCAGACCAGTTCGGTGTTTGGGAGTTACAGCAGTCAAGTAGGGTTATTTTCTCTTGGAAAAGGACTCGAAATGGCCCGCCGTGGTGAGCCTGTCGGTCAACGCTCCGCACAAGATGAATTTGTCTCCGCTGTGCCCCAGTGGCTTCATGTGTCATACTGGACGGGCGCGTCTGAAGAAGCACTTTCTTATCAGGGAATTGCTTTGTCGGTTTCGGACGCGCCTCATGGTGACGCCGGAGACGAGTTCCCAATTCGATGTCGCATGTATGACTTGCAAATGCGAAGCGTGATGGAAACCAATGAGATCGAGACCCAGCCGCTGCACATGGATCCATATTTTCCTCTGTCGGCGCTCCAGGTCACTCAGATCTCCCAACCGCACATCGATTCCGATGGGACGATATTTGTCAAGAACACCAAGGTGCCAGAGACTCTTTTTGAACACGTCTATGGCTTCCAGAAGTTTGTCCCTGATAGAAACAGCCAACATGCGGAACGATCACTGTGGAAACAACTGCAACAGTATGACGACTCCAGGGCACGACTGCCAGCTTCCCGGAGGATTGCTGGTCCTCACAGGCATGGGCGTATGTACGAGTATGTCCCAAGAAAGCAAGTGTCGGAAGATACCAGCCTGCTGAGTACCTCCTTTAGCGAGCGTCGTCCTTCCACTGCTATTCAACCCACAATTCCTGGGCTTTCTCAATTTCATAGGCAGAGCTCTGACAGGTTGGAGGTCCCGTCTTCCTTGTCGACCAACCGTAAAAGTCCTGCTGGGTCTAGTAAGGCCAGCAGCACAGCTACTTCGTCTCCCACCAAGGCCCCTAAGTTCATGCGACAGATCAGCCGTTCGAGTGCGGGTTTTAAGATAGCCGCTCCTAAGGCAGCCGTCGCAGAATTGAGCGTCCAGAGTGTTGAGGCCTCGCGGCCCTCGGGTCCACACGATCACAGGATGGGCAATGCTCGCGGAGATCAACGGCCAATGTCTTCGGACAAGACAAGAATGGGCTCGCCTTTGTTCAACCAAGGCATTTTCTCCTCTCACACGTTTGCACAGGGGCACCTGTCTCCTGGAGATTCGGGCAGCAAGCCGATCCTGATCAGAAACCAACAGCCGAGTGGTGTCAGCATGGCCAATTCGATTCTGGCCTCAACACTGCGCCCAAATCCTATTCGCCTCGACCGGGACATAAAAAAGTCCAATGCCATCCGGAACGACGATGCTAATCGGCTTAACAAATCCAAACTATTGGCGGATGCCATGCCGGAGTTGCCAACCACTTTGTCTCCCACCACAGCTCTGAACCCGTGGCTGACAATCCTGAACCCGTCCAATACCAAACCTGAGGATGTGAACATGGCTTCTCTGTACAGCCGCTGGCAGCACGTATTTCCAAGACCCGCCGAAATGAGAGTCATGAAGTGGAAGTCGTTGTGTTCTCCGGCTGCTGTCCCACTTACGTCTGAGTACTTCCCCACAAAGGCTCAGTTTGAGTCAGAGTACCAGCGCCAGCCTTACAATGTGTCACAAAATGTGGACGACGAGCTGTCCGAGGAACCAAGGTCGCGTGACGACTTGCTGCGAGAGTTGATTAGTTTGCGCTTTTGCCAGGGATTCCAAATCATCGTCGGTCCAGCGGTTGCGAAGGCTTTCGGCCAGAAACAACTCAAGGTTGCTGATGTCTTCTCCAGAGACCACATGATGGAAGATGGCACGAGCATTTTCATGTCGGCTGGTAATACCATACATCAGCTGTCGTGTGTCAACGGGACCGAAGTGGAAGTCAATATCTTTGTTCGAAAGCCGACGGAAAGTTCT